CGCCCTGCGAGAGACAATCACCGGCGAGGGACGGCGATGACGACAACCCGAGGGGATGATGCTGCTCGGCGCGATGAAGACACTATGCAGGGACGTCAAAGCAGCGAAGGAAGAAGGGCGGGGAAATGGGGGAAACCTAGCGAAAGAGAGAGAATTTTTTTTTTGGGTGGAGGGAATTTTTTTGGGAGGGGGGATTATGTGGGGGGGTATGGAGTATATGGGGGACATCCGGTGTACATATCCGGTGTCCCATAGACTTATCCTAGAATTTAACCCAATGAAAAGGAACTTAATTTTGTAAAAATACTTTTGTCAAATGAGGTATCTCGGCTATGAAAGAAGCATCGAGACTCATGGCCGTAAACACGTCATGGACAAACATGCATTTTGTACTTTGGGAGTAAATTTTTTTGAGGGACAAGGCGTACAAAGCGCAAACAACCAAAAACACGTAGATAATTAAAACCAGGGGACCCAAAAAAGTACAGAACCAAATAAAACCCGGACCATAAATGGATCGAAGAAAAATATAGGGAAGCAGATTAAACCCAGACGCAAACACGATCAAATCAAATGAACCCAAACAATTCAAAACATATACGGAGTATCTGAAATAGATCCAACCTGAACAAATTCAAATCAAAACCAAACAGACTGATCCAATTGCCCGGGCTTACTACAAGTATGACATTGTTTTATCACCAATTTTGACACTTGAAATGTGCTCTTTAGCTAACAAAACCAGCAGTGACTTTTTTGCCCTCCTAGGATCCAATTTCATGGTCGTTATTAGAAGAATCACATAACTGTTTGGTAGGAATTTTTGTTTTGTACAACACTATTTTTTTTTGTAGAATAAAATGTTGTTGTAGATTGAGTGAAGTGTGGGTGTGGCATTGTTGAAATGAGGACAGGCATGATTGATCCCATCCCAATTGACAAAACAAAAGTTGTAATGAAAAGGAAAGGTTCATATTTGAGCCAGTTGTGCACATGCATATATGCACATATATTACTGTATATATATTCCACATTATGTATGTATTGCTTCTTCTCTCAATTAACCAACCCTTGTCTCCTTCTGCATTATTATTATTCTTATTATTATTGTTATTACTATTATTATTATTCTTATTATTATTGTTATTACTATCATTATTATTATTACTATTATTATTATTATTATTATTATTATTTGGGGGATAGAGAAAATGTACATACTTTGATTCCCTTCACAAAAGCACAAACAATTTGGTCTCTATGTTAGTTGTTAATTGCGCTTCCAATGGTCATTATGTGTTTTAGGGGTGTCACTAGGATAGGTTTCAATTGGATGTAATGAGCCAATATTGCATCTGAAGTGAAATGCCTAAAATACCCTTGGATTAGTTTTTTGCCAAGACCCCAACTCCAATGAATCCCGCAGCTATTCAAATCCTACCTCCATCTCTCAAAGCGTGGTACACTCTTTGTCATAATTTAAATTGACTGTTTCGATTTATGATTTTGATTGAAATTATTTCTAAATTATTTTATATGAAAAATGGTGTAGAATTAAAAAATAAAAATTACATAGTCCTTGTTTAAAAACTACATCAAAAGATCTACAAAACTAGTCGTGACATGCTTGCATTATTTTATCAAATAACTAACAAAAATAGGAGAAAAAATATATAAAGTCTGACCTTGTGAATAGTAAACAATTAAGCAAAACTCAATTTGGAATGGAGAGAATAATAATTAGTGAATAATTAAGAAAAAAATTGCAAATGATTTCCTATATACATAATGACACATTTTTATGATCTTGTCTTGTTTTGAAGTGTTGGCTAGATTTGAAGCAGTTAGATAAAAACACTGGTTTACTACTAATTAACAGCAACAAAAAATAAGGAACCCAGATCATGAATTCCCAAGAAGGAAAACAAATACTCCCTCCGTCCCTAAATAATGTTCCACTTTTGACTTTTTGAGGATTTAAGGGAGGGATATTTTTGTGTTGACTTTCCAAAAATACCATTGATGTGATGTGTTAAAGTATGATATGATCGGTAGATTTTTAGTAAAAAGGTATGCTGTGATAGGTAGGGTATGAAAAAGTAAGGGTAAAAGGGGGTTTTTAAGGGAAAAGAGAAGTTTATTTAGGGACAAAGAAAAAACGAAAGAGGAACTTTATTTAGGGACGGAGGGAGTATAAAAAGAGATTTTATCATGTAAGAATTCTCGCAATTGCACATGATGATTTGCACATGTCTGGCTTAGCTGGCAGATGAAACAACCTGTTCTTACTAGAAATATACTAACTCCGTCCCACTGTTTTTGTCCACTTTCATTTTTACACACCATCCAATACACTTCTTTAATCCATTTTATCTTGTAATTTGTATTTTAAAAAATTATAGAAATTATATATTAATAATCTATATGTTAAGACAAATCAAACAAGATCACACATGACTATATTTAGGCTTACACATTGAGAGAATTTGATGAGTCAAAGTGCTTAGATGAACAGTTCCAAAAGTCAAAACTGGACGAATACTCCGGAACGGAGGGAGTATATGATGTGTGACTTCCCACAAAAACTTTACTTTATAGCTTATTTGAAAATTTAAATTTGGATTTCTAATTATGATGTGAGGATTTTAAACAAAAAAAAAGCATTTGAATTTGGGAATAATTCATCTAATTCCTAAAGAACAGAGCTTAATTAAAAATGAATTTCTGGGTTTTCGAATGCTACCTTAGCTTTTTAAGAAAATTTATTTAACATCCATGTAGAACTTTATAGAGTAGTACGTTTTTCTGAATAGAGCCAAGAATGTTTTATTTCCTTTATGCCACATAAAGTTTCATATGATCTGTAACATATGTCTTCATTAGTAACAAATATTAGATAATGATTGATTATACGAATGTGGTCATTAACAAGTTTTGGATAATGACTGATTATTTCAATAATTATTCAAATTGTTTTTAATAATGCCTTAGCTTGTTTTACTTGAATTGTGTTGGATTTGTGTAATAGATTATTTTTCTCAAACATTAGAGTCAATATGACTAGTTCTATGTAGAAAAAAATGGTATGTTTAAGACCCATTTGCGTAAATTACTCTATAATTTTTTTTAAAGTTAATACTACAGAGTATGTACTAATATTATTAAAAAATTATTGAAAAATGTTAGGATTAATTAAAAAGTTGATTTCATTTAAAGTCATTTACCTCTAATCGTCTACGAATTCATTCTTCTTATATTTTACTCCCTCCGTCCCTCAGTTTTTGTCCACTTTTGACTTTTGGAACTGTTCATTTAAGCACTTTGACTCATCAAATTCTCTCAATGTGTAAGTCTAAATATAGTCATGTGTGATCTTGTTTGATTTGTCTTAACATATAGATTATTAATATATAATTTCTATAATTTTTTAATATACAAATTACAAGATAAAATGAATTAAAGAAATGCATTGGATGGTATGAAAAAATGGAAGTGGACAAAAACTGGGAGACGGAGGGAGTACATGCATGTTTTGTTACACTAAATTTTGGCTAGTTACATGTATGGCTTTGATGTAATTGTTGGGATCCTGCAACGGTCCAACTTGGAATTAGAGTGGAGTGCTAGTTGAGTATTTCCTAGGTTTTCAATTTCAGACCGAATCGACACTTGAACCGAGAGTTCGATTTTGAATCGATCCGGTCTAATTAACTCCTCAAAAACTCAATGAGAGTCAATGAGTTGAACTATGTTCAGCAAATCTCTAGCTAGCAAGCGCAGTAAAGTTTTATTTTTAAATATGTATGTTTTATTTTTTTATTTCTATACCAATATTTAAATAAAATAGATTGAAAAAACTTAGGATTTTTCTTCGTTTTGCGAACCGGGAAAATCATTATAGGACGGAGGGAGTATGATTGATGGGCGTTCAGTTACGGGCTATTTGTCTACCTTGGATCAAACCTAACCTTTTGTAGTACAGAAAAACAGACTCGTTTGTCTACGTCTTCTACTAAAACTTAGTATCGCGCTCTCTCTTCTTCAGCATCTGAGGTTATGTGACTGACTTATGTATTGACTGATCTGCATGTTTCAGCTCCTCCCCCACAGCTTTTCTAGTGATAATCAATCGACTATATGTCTCACAAAGAATCCAGTTTTTTCACAAGCTATGAATCACGTTGGGATAGACAATCATTTTGTTCAAGAACAAGTTATTGCTGGAACCATGTGTGTCTCATGTTTTCTCTGAAGATCAACTTATTGATCTGCTCACTAAGGCCTTGCTGTCACCATGCTTCCAGGATCTAGTGTCCAAGCTTCCACTCATCTCTACGGAGTTCAGCTTGAGGAGTGATATTAGAAAGTGATAATAATAACACGGAGTAATATTTATTGTAATGTTTGATTATTAGTTACGTTAACTTCATATTCTTGTTTATTGTTGGAGTATCTCATATTTGTACTTCATTGTATTCTTTATTATTCCTTGAGTAATACGGAGTATAATTACTCTATTACGCCTTCTGTCCATCATAGATTTTTCCATTAGTCCTTTTTATTTGGCCACCATATATCTCTTCATTACCTTTTTTAACAACTAAAATACCACAACTATCTTCACTTACTTTATTTATTACACCCCACCTACCTCATTTAATACAATACACACATTTTCATTAAGAGTATTATGATAAACTTTCACATTTTTTCAACTCTCCTTAAAAATCACAAAACGTCAAAATGAGAAAATTTTAGGAGGACGGAAGGAGTATTTCAATTGGAGTCTTGTTGACTAAAAGATCACTAGTTTAAACCTCACCGCCACCCAATTTTACAAAATTAATTTTCACGTGCAAGGTTCAAACAAAAAAATCTTGCTTACACGTAAGGGGGATATGTTAAAGTATAAAATCTTTCTTAAGTTGAGAACAATCATGCTACACTTAACACCAAAAAGTGAACTTCAAAGTTACACCAAAAGTATACACTGATATTTTGATGGTTCACATGACACAAAAATTTGCACTGACATTTTGTGTCTGTGTGAACTATCACCCTAACATTACACTAAAACAAAATGAAGGTTCAAACTTGCATGTATAAATTGAGATACAAATTTTTGGATTTAACTTAATCCAATGCAAATTATAAAATTGACCTTTTGATACGAACAGTACCCCGGAGTAAATGAAAGGCGGAGGTACATTTCAGAAATGGACAGAAAGTGTCAAATTAATTTTACAGGCTGTGCAAATGCATGTGCCTGTCTCACATCATATGATAAAGATGTTGAGAGAAAAGAACTGATCAAATTGTGTACAAACTCTGCTATCTATTTATGTTATGAGAGTCGTCTCTCACTTCTCTTCCCATTTTCTTTTCTCCTTATCACTACCAATGTACTTACCTTTCTTGTGTCATAAGTGAGGATATTGAATGGAGATGCATGCATTACTATCAATCTCAAACCATTTTGGGTTTTTGGAATAAAAAGTTGTTTACTTATCATTTTTCTATTAAGTTTTCTGTCGGGTTAAATTAAAGTTGTGACGTAATCTCTTCGTCTCATCTGAATTTTTTAAGACGTGATCTAATTATTATTTCTGATCTAAATGGAGTTAAGGTTATACGAAGCATATGTTTCTGATATGATATGAGTTGATAAGAATTTTTCTAATCCGATCTAATTTCAGTAAGAATAAGTAATATTTCGTGCTCCTTAAGTAATAAAAATAAGTTGAAGAGAATTGTTCTTGTACTTCGATCTCATAAGAAATGCAAAAAATCACTCCATGGTACACCACATTTTAATTCGTGGTAATGTACTTCGAGAATACATTCCCCTCCATTTAGTTGTTAAGAGTGAAATCGCAAAGCATTTTGATTTTTGAACTACCGGGTGACTTAGCTCAACTGGTCAATCTGACTAGAAAAGGATTTTGCAGCCGAATTCGATTCCTTATAACAATATATTAGGATGGGTATGCTTTGCATAAAATATAATCCATGCAAATATTTAGTTTTAATCTTTTCTAAGAAGTTGTTATCTGATCGTCGTTCAATACATGTAACACTTTGACCAATAATATATTTATTTATAGATAGATTCACTCCCCTCATTTCATAAAATACTTCAACTCCACCTAAAATATTTAAAATATCATCAAACCAAGTTCTACCCGTAATAAACTACAAAATGAAGGTGTATTTTAGATATTTTAAGTGAGGTGGAAATGCTTTAAGGGATGCTTAAAAAATGCTTTATGGGGACATATTATAAAAACATAATATTTCAAAATTACGTTCCAAAATAAAGTTATTGATATTAAATTTATATCACAATTCAATCTATTTTTTTTGTAATTTGTAATTAAAATTTAAAAGTTGACCCTAAATGTCAAACTGATAAGATTCAAAACGAATAGATGGTGTAAAAGAGAATTTTCTCTACAACTTCATTTCTCTTAAGTAATGGTCCAAATGAGAACCTTGAGTGGGGTTCATCTTTATACTTTCAAAAAATACTTGGAAAACTCTATTTGGTCTACACTAAATATATGCAAAAACAAAAACAAACATACACAGACACTCATAATCTGCACATAGACAAAAATAGAATTTATTTAAATAGTACTAAAATATAATGATTTTCCCTAAATAACATCACATATATTTTTCTTCCCAATGTAGCACTTTTAGTTATTATGCATTAGTCATTATTCAAGTAAATATTTGATATCACTGAATATTATGGACATTATTAAGTGTTACTTAGAGAATAAAATAATTTAAGTGGTATTTAAGAAAATGACTTAAGTTTTAGTGCTATTTAATACAAATATTTCATATTTATGTACATCTTTGGTGCACACCTTATATACAAGTGGGTTTCCCCTATCAACTCCCTATATTGATTTTTTTGAACCAGAACAAGAAAAGGCTAATCATTATCTCTCCTCACCCTACCTACCCACCAAACACACGACACCTATGAGGGCATTTACTGTTCTCTGCCAAATTCATCAAATGACAGAGTACCATTCTGCTGGCGCACAGCACACAGTGACAGTACTTCTCTTTTCCTTAAACAAAACAATTGAAAATCATTTGCCATTAACGAACCCACCTTTCTGCTAAATTCTTTCCCCACCCCCCACAAACTACATTGCCATCTTTCTCATCAAATTCAAAGTTCTTGCCTCTTCAGATAAGACAACAATGATCAAATCCACCTACTTCAATTCTTTGATCAAAATCAACCCAAATCAATGTAAAAAATGAGACCAAAGTTCAATTGCAGACATGTGATGATTCATGGGAAAGAAGAAGAAGAAGAAGAAGATTTATAATCTTATCAATGGAATGATGTATACACATGGGGGGTTTTGATTTTTGAACACTGGTAATTTGCTCATTTTATTCATCAAACAGACTATTTTGAGATTGATTTTTTTTTTTTGGTAAATGAAAAAGAATGGGGAGGCAAGTTCATGTTCATCCATCAATTGACGAAAAGCAGCTCTGAGATCGGAGAAAAGTGGGCTTTCTCACCGGACTTGACCGCGGGGAATCCAAGCTCCGCAGCAGCAGCTGCTTCACGGCCAGAATGAGCTCCTCCGTCGGGTTGGGCGGCGGGCTCTGTGCTTTGAACTTCTTGTAGAACGACATGTGACGGTTCAAAGCCTCTTCCTTGCCGATGCGCCGCTCCGACCTCACCATCTCGTCCTTCACAGCCTCCGCGCACAGCCCGCAAATCCACCGCCCCTGGTTCTTCTCCCGGACCTTTGCCACGTACGCCTCCGTGCACTCCTCCGTCAATCCGCAGCACTCGCATTTCGCGAACACCACTTCATTCGACTTCGCCGCCGCCGCAGCCGCAGTGGCCTCCTCCGTCTTTGCTTCCGTCGCGTTCCCCTGCACCACCGCTGCCTCCTTCCTCATCATCTTCGCCGCCATTCTCGCAGCACTCCGATCCCAGATCAAACCTCGCGCTTCTGAGATTCAATTTATCCTCTGCGAGAAACAACGAGACTGGGAATTTAAGCGCACCAGATTTGAAATTCAAACACGGAATTGAGAAATAAGTAATGAATAACTTCAACGAATCAAAACGGATCACTAAATCTGCAAATAAACATACATTTAATCGAAGATCTGGAGAGAACTCTGCGGTAGAAAAAATCAGATCTACTCAAGGCGCTGAAATTCCCCGAAATCTTCGCGAAGGATAATGGATTCAAATCGGGTACGAAATCTATCTTTCTTTCTCCCACTCGCCTTCCTCTTCAACAATCTCGCCGCCAATGATCAGGAGCTTGAAGGTCATATACATTTCAGAGAGCCCTGTCTGGCTCTTCGAGAGTGAGGGAACTCCGGCGAGAAGATGGTCACTTCGCGGAGAAGGTTCAGGAAGAATATGATGACAGCCGGTTATTTATAGAAGGGGGGAAATGTTCGAAATGCCGATTGTGCCCTTGCTCCCATCCCTTCCAAATTAATGGACTACTCTCTTCGTCTATCATAAATTTTCTCAAATTGACTTTTTATGGTTTTTAAGGAAAATTAAAAAATGATTATAGCTTCGGATGAACCTATGATCACCAACTTCGTTATTGTGGTTAAAGCTTTAATCTATGTGTTACAGAACATTTTTATACGTCTTAAATTAATTATAATGACTAAAAATAATTTGTACGATTTGGACCGAGAATGAAAATGAAGTATTCTTCATCTCTAAAACTCTCGTCATGGTAGTACCACCTATCAGTAGAAGTGGTGTCGTGACACATTAATGGTCTCCCGCAAGACAGTACTTTCGCCAGGGTCTTCATTCCAGGTAGCTAAACTACCGTCACATGGTACCTGACTATCACCAAAAGGCAAAAGCTTTTTATTAGAATTTAAGTTGCCGGTCAGTAAGTGACTAACGTATAGTGGTACCCAAGTCTCGTCAACTAGACTTTGTTTGTTATATGACGGTAAGTAAGGGTGTTTACTGAATGATGGAATAATTGTATTATTAGTCAAGGAATATACAATATAAGACAGAGTATACATAGAGGATGATAAGTGTATTCCACCCAGAACCAGTCAAGGAAGGCGATCAAATATTCTGCCGGTCAAGGTTGATTTTTTGGGATGGGGGACGCCTTGAACAACAGTAAAAGGATATTCGGTTGACTAGAAAGTTGACCGGTATATTTCGGAAAGCCTAAAGTCAAATCACTTTATTCTCTCATTCGTCCCCAACTTCAATAAACAAATGACTTGGAAATCACCCAGTGTGATTTCCAGGGTTGGGGAGTGCCGGCAAGGAAGAACCCAAAAGAAATTAGACTGTAGCGGCCAAATTCAACGGAAGATGATTAGAGATACACAAGAAATCCGTCCAAGACACTACGTATATGACAAGGAATTCACCTTCCTAACTAGGTGACTAGCTCACTAGAAGACAGAAGCAATCACCTCGCACCACCCAGGTACGTGCCCTAACGTGGATGTGCGGCGCCTTGTCCCTCATTGATTACTATAAATACATGTGCAACCTTCAAATAAAGGGGACCGGATTCTTCTCACTAAAACTCATGTGTAAAAGCACCCGTGCATTCTACTATATTCGAGTATTAATTGGGCTAGGTGTTTCTGCCTACAATCCTCCTGGTTATTTCCTGTGTTTTACCTTTTTACCAACTCAAATCCAATAAATAATCCTAGACCCGGTCTAGAACTATTTACCCAGTTAGGTAATTTACACAATCAGATGGGATTAAAATCTCAACTATATATGAATATGAATCAATAATGAAAAGTGACTAAATTAAAAATACTATCATAACTAATACTACCAGGATCATTATTATTGTCTAACATCCTTTCTCAAGTTGAACTCATGTCACAAGTGGAAGCTTGGAGACAAGATCCAGGAGCCACAGAGAAGATATCGTCTTCATGAAAGGACCTACTAGAAGTAGAGAGATAGATATCAGTTGTGTGACAAACAAGCTCGAGAGTGCATGTGTTGAGTTTTTTTCAATAGAGAGTGTTAGAGATTAGAGCGATGGTGAGGAGTTTCTTTTTTCCTCCTTGTGGGTCGTTCGCTACTTCTCTATCACTTTTCATGCTCTCAAACTCTAGAAGAAACTCAGACAAATACAGCTTTGCAGCTCTTTAATCATGCACACAGACGGTTTTAAAGAGAGAAAGGGGGGATAAAGGACGATGGATGTTATGCACGGTCATCAAGATCAGTAGCGATTGTTAAGCACACACTCTTTTTTTATAGAGAAAGAGAGAGATAATAGATGGCGGATGTTAGACACGCTTGTCGAGATTTGATGGTGCCTATTAGGCACACACAATTTTTTTTTAAGAGAAAGAATGAGATAGGGATAAGGAACGACGATGTAATGTCATGATCTGTGGCGATTGATTGTCGATGAAGAGGAGCAGCGATGGTGCACGGTTGTAGAAGAAAGAAGGCTAGGTTTTTTTTAGAAGAGATACCTTAGCTCTGATACCATATTGAATAATTAAATGTTTTTATTTTTCAAGGAATAATGAAATACATGATAGATTATATATAGAGAGGATTATAATCTCAACTAGGGATATGAATCAATAGTAGAAGCTGACTAAAATACAAAGACTACCATAACAAATGTTACCACAATTATTATTATTATTATCTAACAGTGTTAACACCTAATGCTAGACCGCTAAATATATTACATGATTGTATATTAGTCATGATTATATCTTGAATAATGGTAATTATGAATAATAAACTATGAAATAAACTACCTAAAAGAACTCTATGATTGATTTAACATAATTTAAGTTTTTTTTTGCGAAAGTAGCAAATGTTTTTTTGTATAAATTATGACATTATTTTTTTTGTTATCCTAGAGACATTGATGAGGATAATTAAGATTATGAATATAATGATAATAATAATTTTTAATAATAAGAATTATAAAAATTATAATAAGAACAATATGAAAAAACACTTAAAGAATTTTTTAAAGTTCCTTTTAATTTCCTTCCACTTTTATCTCAATCTTTTTAATTTTCAAATTTCTCCTAATTCCTTCTAGTTTATTCTAGATTTTTCTAATTTCTTCCAATTTGTTCTAGATTTTTTGAATTTCTTTTATTATTCAAGTTTTTTTTAGTTTCATTTTGATTCCTCCCAATTTTTTCTATTTCTTGTAGTTCCTTACAACATCCAACTTTTTTTACTCTTTCCATTTTAAAATGTTTTACCTCTATACTACTACTATTACATTTTCTTGATAGTTTTTGTTTGTTTGCATATTTTCATTGATCATTTTATAAAATAAAAAATTTGTCATACCTCTTATTTTGCTAAACTTTTGATGTAATTTTTTAAATATGTAAATTTTATTGTTTATTTATATACCTATTTGAAAACAATCTAATTTTTAAAAAAAGTATAAGATTTTCTACGTTATTCGAATGTGAAATATCATTTTGGTATGAAAGTTGAGTATAACTCATTTAAATAAAATATGAAATTTATAAAATAATTATTTCAACACTTTTTATTTGTTTATAACTCCTGAGTTTTATTTACTCCTTTCAAGTTTTCAATTTTTTCTTATTTTTCCAACTCCTTCTATAGTTTATTTTAATTTCTTCATGTTTTTTTTTTCAAATTCTTGCTGATTTTTTCCATTTTTTTTCAAACGTCTTCACATCTCAATAATCTCATACTCAATTTTCACAACTAAAAGAAATAGAGCTTGCTTTTCCATTTTCCAATCTTCATACTTTGACTTTTGGGTGCATCCTTTGATTCCTTTCTAAAAGCTCTTTTGCTTTACACCCAAAATAAAAATGAAAAATTATATTTAATGAGTAGACATTTGGAAAATATTTATGATCAACCAATCACAACCAAATATTTGGGATTCTATACTAGCTTTGTTTAACCTAATAATCCCGCTCAAACTTAAAATATAGGACGATATTCTTACACTCCGTCCAAATTCATAGTTTAATTTATACTTAATGCTACGATTTATGAGCGTTGATTTGAATTATTTTGCATTTAATAATTGGTACTCCCTCTCTCATAGATCTTTCCATTAACACTTTTTATTTATCCACCATAGATCTTCTCATTACCTTTTTTAACATTTAAAATACCATAACTACCCTCACTTTATTTATTACACATCACACACTTCATTTAGTACACTCCATCCGTTTTCATCAAGGGTATTACGGCTGTAAATTTTCACCTTTTTTCAACTCTCCTTAAAAACCTCAAAAAGTCAAAACGAGAAGATCTTAAGGGGACGGAGGGAGTATAAAATTAAAAAAAATTAAAATGTATATATATTCAACGAACTAATGTACTTCCTCCGTTCCTAAATATTTGCAACATTTGTTTTTTCAATAGTCGCAGGAACTTTTGTTTATTTCTATGTTTTCATTGGTTATTTGATAGAATAAAATATTTTTGACACCTCTTATTTCGAAAAACTTTTCGTGTAGTCACATGCAAGGCTCGAAAAAAGAGTACATCTAAACGTGAGGGGACGTGTTAGAATATAAATAACCTTTCTGGGCCACAATCATAAGGTTGAGCTTTTAGTTGAATTAATTGTTAGAATATAAATAATTTTTTCTAGGCCACAATCGCAAACTTAAATTTTTGGTTTAATCGGTTATTTGACATACTATTGGAGCCTTGCTGACTAAGATGTCACAAGTTCAAAACTCGGCGTCACCTGATTTAAAAAACATGTGTAATTCCTTGACACAAGTGTTTAGACATAAATTACTATTCATTATTATATAGAGTATTTAAAAACTCATATTTATTTAAACACATGGTTAAGTTCTAGCCACAAGTTTATCTTCCATTTTATTTTAATGTAATGGTAAAAATAGGAGCAATGCTAGGGGTACACCAAAAGTGTACCCCAAATGTACACCACTCACTTTTCCTCCACCCATTTTAATTTTATTTTTATTTATTTATTTTTTTTTGAATTTCTTGCCCTTTTTTTGTGAACAAGGAGGGGGTGGGGGACAAATGGGGTACACATTTGGTGTACCCCTAGCATTTTTCTAAAAATAGTCCATGCTTCTTTAACTTTTTGTGCCACTTTTGATTAATCAATGCTGAAGTTGTCAATCAAACGACGATTTGTTTTTTTGAACTATGCAACCATTACACCAAAAAATGTATCCAAAATTACACCAAAGATATATACTACTCTAATATTTTGATGGTTCACACTGATACAAAATATTCGTATGTTAATATTTTGTGTTTGTACTAATTATTACTCTAACATTACACCGACACAAAATATAGCTGCACCGCCTGCACACATGTCATGTACAAATTAGGGTACAACTAGCTTAATCCCTT